ACGTGTATGTACTATGCAGTATGAGTGAATGTTACGTGCATGCAGATTCAATAGTTAAATGCATGCCGCCAAGTGCATTGTGTTATGTGAGTGCACCGTGGATGAATTGTAGGCACAATAACACACGTACGTACAAGACAGTGCTTGCAAATGCATTCGCTTGCCAACCTCGCATCTCAGACGCAATTGAGGCCGTTAAATAGACAGCGACTAAACCCCGATATTCATTTGTTCCGTGACCCACGTCCTCGTCGCAGTGTGATTCCAAGCGTGCTCCTCTAGCGTGCTTCTTTGCGTCCTCGTCAGCTTTTTGTTCCACGTGATTTGTCCATGTTTTCCCGATCTGTATATTTCATGGAACTTAACTAAGGCAAGACATAAACTAAAAATTCAAACATCAATAATAATAAAAAGTAAAAAAAAAAGCAATCAAGAGCTGATAAGTTAAATTCAGGGTTTACGTGCAAACAGCAGAGTTGGCAAGTTAAACCACAGGTTGTCATTCAATACACAGCAGACAAACCCAGATTAACATGCAGGCAATGGCGAATAAGTTAAGCCCAGACCAACACGCAGTACGCAGTTGATAAGGTAAACCCCCAAGCTAAAACTCTCAAGCTAAAACCCAGCTTAACGTGCAGGAAGTAGATAAGTGAAACCTAGGTCAATATGCAGTCTTAAGCTGATAAATTAAATCTATATTAACATGAGCACTGACAGAGCCAGTGGGGGGGGGGGGGGGGTGGCACGTGCCCCCCCCCCAATGATCCGATCGAAATCCCTAATTTCTATCGGATCATTGGGGGTTATTGGTAATAAATCGGCATTTTGCGACCCCCACTGCCACTGTGTAGCATATTATTACGTGCCAGGGACTCTATGAGATGATATGACAATAGTCCGAGTCCATAATTGGCAATAAGTAACGGCAAAGCAGTTCTAAGTGACTCACAGAATTGTGCGCAGTCGCGTATACAGGACACGACTTCCCTGAAGGCATCAACACCTTCAGCGAGCGCGATGCCGATCACACAACGCGGTTCGAAATCGATCCTCGATCGATGTCTGCGCCATCGCCGCACACGCGTCGAGTAACAAGCAAGGGACAAGTCCTCACTAACAACTCCTCTTTCATTCCTGGAGGGGTTGCCTCCCCTACCTGAAAATCCTGGCTCCGCCATTGAACATGAGAAATTAAACCAGGTTAAGACACATGCAATGGCTGATAAGTTACATCCTGGTTAACATGCATTTTTTGGCTGATAAAATAAAACCAAATTAAAAAGAATACCAAACTGACAAGTTAAACCCAGCTCGACGTGCAGAAAGTGCCTGATAATTATATTATTTAGGTCTTTCAGTAAAGTCACGTAGATAGGTTCAAAGACGTCGCCCTCCGATCCCACATTGACATGCTAATTTATCACATTGACATGCTAATTTATCACATTGACATGCTAATTTATCACATTGACATCACTAGCCCCGCCCACTTCGTTCATGACCCTTGGGCTACGCTCATTTTAAACCTTTAAAACATTCTGCCTCAGCAGCTGTCCCCCTCCTTTTTTTCTTCCTGATGACGATCGCTTTTGTAGCGATCGAAACGTCGTAGTTTATTTTGTTATATTTTTTACCTATCTACGTGACCTTACCGAAAGACCCAAAGAATATGAATTCCTGCAGTCACAAAAGCTTTAAGTCAATATTTAGCTGATAATTATTTAGTCCAGATGAGCGTCATTTAAATCCAAATGAACGTGAGAAATTAAACCAATGTTAAGAAACGTGCGATGGCCGAAAGGTTACATCCCAGTTAACATGCAGGCAATGGCTGATAAAAAATAACCCGTATCAGCATAATTTGAGTCCAGGACAATATGATTCAATGTACCCGGGTCAAGATACATGCGATGGCTGATAAGTTACATCCCAGGTTGACATGCGTTTTGCTGCCGACAAGTGAACAAGATTCGCAATGATTAAATACAGAATAACATGAATTAAACTCGGGTTAAGACACATGCGATGGCCGATAAGTTTGACCCAAGGTCGGCACGCAGGCAACGGCTGAATGAAACCCAGGCGAACACGGCAACTTTTTCTTGGTTCTTTCGGTAAAGTCACGTAGAATGGGAATACAATGATAAAAAATAAAACACAATAAAATAAAATTCACAACACAAGTAGAGCAAGGCTACTTATGTTGTGGCCGAAACGTCGTGAGAATTTTATTTTATGTTTTATTTTTATTATTTTATTGTTTCCCTTCTACGTGGTGGTGGTGGTGACTTTACCGAAAGAACCAAGAAGATGAATCCCTGCAGTCACGAAAGCTTTAAATCGAAATTTAACGGCAACTTCACCGATGGATGAGGTCCAAGCCAAGCAGCGCGCGTGAGTAGGCACATCACGGCCAAGTTGTGAACAAAGCCTTCGCTTGCTCCGCGTAGCCCAACACACGCAGTGGAGAATTTTCAATTGAAAGAGACGCAAAAATGTTATATTCCAATTGCCTGGCATACCGGTGAATGGCGTTCACCTGGTGGATGCCGAACAGGTGCCAGCGAGTGCTTGCGAGTCGTGTGTGAACGTCAGAGCGGTTACGTGCAGATGCTCGCACGCTTTAAACATGCACGCGTTAATGCGTGCGTGTGAATGAAGGAATGAGCAGGTGAATATGCACGTGCGTGTTTCCACCAGTGGTATAGGTGCATTGACGTGTGTGTATGAGCATGTGTAACTGTGTGAGCATATGCAGGTGTGCAAAATATCAGTTTACGTACATGAGGAGCAAAGGACACCCGCTGGAGCCTCTCCTAAACATGTAAATGTGCATACACGTGCGTGATACAGACCATGTGTGTGTGTGTGTACGTATAGGCCTTCATAGGTGCTCGTTAACAGCACTTACCCCAAAAATATGTTAAGGCTATGCGGGGGATCTTTGTTCTTGTATTGAATGTACGTTATGTAACGGACGTGGACCTTAGAGGGTTCACAGATCCTCTAAGGTCTGGGGCGTCTGAAAATCTAATCCTCGGGAAACAAAACTACCTCTGGCACTATGCACCACCAACCAACACTGCCCATCCATATGTTTAACGGGGTGAGTCGTTAATCCTTCAGGGGACAACCCATATTGCACAAACGCCGCACTAATTTGTCCAACGTTATAATTACCTAAGTGTTTTCTCTGTGCCTATCGGACAAATCTGGAAAATGCTCAGAGCTGGGAAAAATTAAGTGCAACATTCATTATACCATGACGGTGTGTGCGCGCAGGTTTAATAACGAATTTGTGAGTTTAGTGGTGGCAACTCTCAGCGTGTAAAACACAGCAGTTACCAGCATCCTCAGCCCACGTGCAACCTCTGGTCCCATTTTTTTGTTAGACTCTCATAGGATCATAGGAAATCAATGTTTTTTTTTGGTCTTATGTGACACGTGTGTTACAAAGACATGCAGATGGTAACCATTTCATATTTCCCCCCCCCCCCAAAATCGAACCAATATTATTTACAAACATAGCGTGCATTAGTATACCATATTTTCTTTTTACTTATTTTTTTTACAAAAATATGCAAGTATTTTTATTTTAATATTCACATCATATTAGCCCACACAGCTCTTAACCCACAGTATTAGGACGAGCCATGAAACAAATCATGGCAGTTTTTCCCACTTCCCAGTCAATGCCCAACATAACCATCAACCCTTCACTGTGCCAGCACGTGATACAAGACCATCATACACTCTAGTAATGTCAGGACAACCGTTGGCAGCAGCTGTCACCAACGACGGCGGTAGCGTCACCATTCTCCTCGTTCAAACAAAATTAATTGGCCAAACTGGGCAAACATCGCAAGTCGAGCCCTCTCGTGGTCAACTTTAGATCGCGACTTCCAAATCAGATGACAGCATTGGGTTTGTCACACGACAACCCGAGGTTGTGTTGTGCTTTGTCGACCAATCGTTGTCCGTCATTGATTCACTCTGTGACACTGCCCTATTAAGTTGTCATCGTTTCTCATCACAGACGCGTCGCCGGTGGCAATCGCCAGCGACGGGTGGCGGGTGACGACCGTCATGTGTCATGGTCCCAAGCGGTGGCGGTGGTGGGGTGGGGTGGTTCGTGGCTCCAGGTTGAGGAGGGGACAAAGTCCACCTAGGGTTGACCAGTCTCAGGTCGTCACGCACGTAGCTGGATTCAACGAGACACTGGAATGCGCCGACAAAGTGCCGGGTTATCGGAGCAGCACAAGTAGCTGCACATGTAGTAGCTACACGTGTAGTCGCTGCTACACATGTAGTAGCTACACGTGTAGCTACTACATGTGTAGCTACTACATGTGTAGCTACTACACGTGTAGTAGCTACACGTGTAGTAGCTACTACATGTGTAGTAGCTACGGGCCCCGCACTTTCAAGGGCCCCGTGCTAAATGCTTTCAAGCTACCAATTCCGGTTCAGTGATTCTGCACTTGCTCTATCACTATAGTACTATACCGCCTTCAACATTTATGAACGACTGGGTGTTTAAGGTTTAGCGATTTGTCATATTATCCGTCTGTATAGCAAATGAACGAAAACAATTCAATTATTTTACTATGCAAGCTACAAATTAATGGATTTGATATTAACCCTTATTAACACATTCTACAGGTCCCGCACTGGCTTAATCAGGCCCCTCGCCGGCAGCGGCTCCGTTCGCATCGGCCCACCCTCGGTGAACCTAACTCCGGTGGAGCCCAGGAGTCATGCAACATCGTCCATTCCACGTTGACTCTGTGGCTCCAATCGCCGATTCATTCCACCTGCGCGCATTGTAACCGGGAGATTTGGGAGAAACAGAAGTGTTGACCCCTCAAATTCTGGAACTCAGCGACTGGCACGGTCCGCTGTCACCCAAGACGACTTCCCACCCGGTTGGCGCAGCGTCCCAGACTCAACGTTGCTCCCTCCCATGCCCGCAGTCAATTCACCTCTCACTCCAGTGGTGTCGTTTGAACGGAGCTCGTATTTATTATCCTCTTATTTTCGTTGTCTCCCCCGGTCACATGCAATGTGTCACGTCACGCAGTACACTTAACACGTGTGCGCGAGCTTAAATATGGTTGTTTGTGACGCGTCTACGTGATATCGTCATATTATCGTATAGGTTATGCATAGAGTATAACAATGTGTTTTCCCCTTTATTACAGTGCATTTCGTGTTTTAAAAAGTAGCAGCGATTTTTTTTTCTCCCCGTTTCTCTACAAATCGGTGGCGTGAGCGACAACATGTGGGTGATCCGCTCTGCGTACCCTGCCTCAGGGGTCGTCCGAGCCAGCGATCCCTAAAAGTCCCTCCACCACCCCCACCCCCCTCCATGAATCTAACCCTAACCCCACCACCCCGCCGACCAACACGAATTAAACACGGCCTTTTTGCCAGAGAAGAACATTCAGCGGGCTTTCATTCTTTGATAATGGCCCTTTCTGCAGAGCCATCAACAATGAATTCCACGTAAACCATTGGAAATAAATGTAAGTTCGTTTGTTGAACTGCTTTCGCACCACCGTACGTAGGCAACCGTGCCAATCGGAGATGGAGGGAGAAGGACAACTCACTAAACATAACACGAAAAAAAAACGTTGCTTCCTCGTGTGATTGTGCCAACCCAGATGATTTTGCCAACCTATTGCATGATATGTATTGTTTCGTTCTCTCTCTCTATCTCATTTGTATGTACCGGATTGGAAAGCGAAATTCGCAAGGCAGATTAAGGGTTATTTATTTTATTTATACAGCCAAGGTTGACTCGCTTAGTCAGAATTGTCTTTCGTGCAGAAGTGGGCATATTAAATTCAAATACACAAAATTGCTCTCGCAGTGTATTGTAATGTAGAATTAGCAATTTACATTGTGGCATGTCATTTAGATACAAATCACCAATTACTTTGAGGTGGGCAATTTAGATAGCAATTACAAATGTAGTGAAATTGCGTATTAAATGGCATGTAATTCGGATAATGGCCATCCCTGCCTGCTTATTCTGTGAATTCCTGATTCTAGTGGGTTTTTCTGTGCGTGTCTGGAGTGCCCAGAGAAAACCCCACACAAACATCACACACGCAAGCCTTTCACAAGTCAATTCACCGTAATTTAGGATCTAATTATTTATCCAGGAAAGCCATACTTTTTCGTAAAGGTTTTGCTTATAAAATATATTTACATTTTAAATTGTTTGCAGCTAATTAATTATGCCTTTATTATACAAGTGGCGGGAAACCGGAGCACCCGGAGAATACCCACGTGTGCGAGGGGGCAACACTCTATCCCCGTACAGACGGAACTAGATGACGATTATTCCACTTGTTTTACTGCCTTCTCCTGGCATGCCAGGGCATGGCACCATTGACGCCCACGTGCACGGAGAAGCACAACAATGGTGCAGTGATGCACCAACCCTCACAGCCTGCACAATACAGGATCACAGGTCACGTGCATAGCCACCACGACCACCCACAGCTGCTTCCTGCCCTCTTATACGCAACAACTCACAAACTGAACACATCATTATCATCATTATCACCATCGTGGCTCTCGACTCTTAGTGATCCACCAATGCCACCTCCAAATCGCCGGATTGCAGGTGTGCATCAGTGCTTCCACCGCACCTGGCAAATGATCTGGGTTAGCGTAATCCAGGAACATAAATCTACGCTTCTCATGCATTCTAAGCAAGCTCTGTTTTGCTGCCTTAATCTATATTAAGTGCTTTGAAAGCGATTAAATTGGACGAGACGATACATTCTGAGACTAACGTTACACTTTGGCGTCAGCAACAGAATATAGGTACTGGGTGTGCCGCAAAGGCAGCATGCTCTCATCACGCGTAAACGGTTTAGAAACTTAATATCATCATCGTCGTCGTCATAATCTTCGTCGTCGTCGTCATCATCGTCGTCTTTGTCGAAATTTTCAATATGCCAAGTAAAGTATTGCCCTGGAGACGTTTTGGCCCCAACAGAGCTTTTCAACCAATGTGTATCACAGATTTATATTATTCCAGCAAGAGGTAAAACTCGCTTAAACTCAACATTACATTTGGGTTGGTGTGAACAAGGTGCACCTGATGAAGGCCGCTTGTGTTGTGGCCGAAACGTCGTGATTTTTGTTGTTTTATTTTTTTCCTACGTGACTTTACCGAATAGAACCAAAGAGTGTGAACAATATTCATGCATTTTTATCTGCTCGGAAAGCATAATCGAATCCCAACACCACTGCCCAGGCGAGCCCTTCGTGGAATGTTTAGCTAATTCCCTTTGTGTGACCGTTCGTTGCTTTTGTGAGAGGAAACTGAATTGCCGGGAGAAAACCCGGGACGTACGAGGGAGAAAAAAAACCACTCAAACTATATTCACAAAAGTCAGCCAAACGACTTGCTGCTGGTACTGCCTCATGCAGGCATCTGCATATGGGTGTTCCATGCAAGCGATGTTAGCATGATCTTCAAGCCCTAAGCCTGACCGTTATACGATGGTAATACAACCGGAACACAGTAAATGGACGTGGAGCTGTGCTCTGTGGTGGCAAGAAGACAACCATTGTTGTTCTGTACTTCTATGCTCAAGCATCTATGCTCCCTGCCTACATCCTCCTGCACTGCCCAGTGCGATGTAGTATGGTCACGTCACTCCCACGAGATGTACGGCCTTCATCCAGCGGTGGATTTTGTTGGTTGACAAAAACAAATTAACAGGATGTGTGTTACGAAACTGTCTTGGTGGAAACCCCACATGGCAGGGTATACAGAGAGAGAGAGAGAGTGTGTGTGTCCATGACTCGATCAATTACTCAAACGAACACTGCTGAACATATGCATACTCGTCACGTGATGGTGATCGTAAATGCCGTATTATGGGGCCTGTTTTGCCAGTATCAAAGTATGACAAATAATAATAGGTTTTACCCTTTCTGGCAATAAAACAGGTGTAAAGATGTTCGAAAACCAAACAGAAAATTTAACAGTTAGGCTTTCGCGACCAATGTCATCCATAATAGGTTTTCTGTTTTGTTGGATTAATCTGCATTAACCACACGTACTTGTGGTGAACATGCCAACAAACATGCTCTGAAAATACATGCATTGTCCTTAAATCTGGTTGGCCTACACCAGAGATAGCCTTCTTTATGGCCTAACCTCACCAAGGACAATGCATATATCATCAGCACATTTTTGTTGGCATGTTCACCAAAAGTACGTGTGATTAATTCAGACGTGATTCCTTGCAAAAGGTTTATATTTGGTACTCTCTGTTTTTTTCGGTAAAGTCGCGTAGGTAGAGTATGGATTCCTGCAGTCACGAAAGCTTCAAATCAAGTATATACTTGGTGTGTGAACATCTCAACACCTGTTTTTATTGCCAGAAAGGGTAAACCCCATTCACATTCTTCATTAATGCCGTACCTCTCTTGCTGGTGGAAATCAGTACCTCTGTGAATCTTGGCCAAACGTTGACCATGGTTAAGTGCTGTAGAATTCATCAACGTTGCCCACATTTACGGCAAAGAACTCTAAATCAAGGGCAAAGGCAAAGTAACTACATACACGGATGGGTCTTCTGGTTAACATTTCAGTTGAGATGTTTGGCCCATGTGGTGGTTTCCTGCTCAATTTAGCAAGGGTTAGTGCTCCATTCGTAGTCCTGAGCCAGTGGCGGTGGAAATTCCACATTCCTGTGATGGGGGGGCGAAATGTATCCACAGGTCAACCACCGTTGATTCCCCACAAATTGGTATTCATTTTGTAAACACCCCAGAGGGATGATTACTCTATCAATCCCTGACGAGGATTTGAACCCACAACCTTTTAGATGGCAAGCCACGCACTCTACCACTGCACCACCCAACGGGATCTGGGAACCATGCAATGGGCATCTACTGGGCAAATTATTTTAAATGATCAAGTCTTAGGGCATTCACTACCCTTCCGCTTTACAGGAGGCAGGGACGTGCACATGCACAAACTAAAGGCAAGGGAAACTTACGTAAGATAATATTATCCCGGTGTAATTTCGTGAGCAAGTGTTGCTCGTCAATTGTGCTAAACATTTTTGGGATTTTATATTGTTAAAATTCTCAACCAAGTGTCTGGTCACTGCTGTGGCCCAAGAACTGCGTGGAATTCAGAGTTTCACCATTATTTACATTCGTACGCGAAAGCAGGAATGTTACTTTTCAGCAGCCTTGGCACCCGACTTTAATGGTTGACTTGTGCTTTTTTGTAAAAAAAAATCTAAACAAATTTTTCACGCAAAACTTTATCAATGTGCGCATGTTTCTTTACTTGCTCAAGTAACACCTTTGTAGGTACATTTTTTTAAAGTGTGGTTAGTCGTATGATGTTCCGGCATTAGATATGTAATGCCTCTAAAGGGATTCCCAGAGTTAATGATCGGCGCAGACCAAATAACGGATAATTTAATGTTGGGACCTGTGCAGTCAGCAAAGAGGAAGGCTATTTCTGATAATTGAGTCTACCCAATTGGCCAATCAACTGATGACACTGTGATTGCTATTATGAACCGGTTCACAATATATATTCTACATACTGTAGTATACGTGAATGTTTCTGTGTACCCTGTGTATACGAGTCCTTGTGCGTGTCCTACATACAAACAAAGAGTGGACGTCTAGTGGTTCAAACACTGCACACGACTCCAGCTACCCAGGCCTGGCTATTGGCAATCGGTTACTGGACATTGCCTGGGCATCACCTAGATCAACTCAGCTATAAATGAGGACCTGGGCAGAAACAGTGGGTAGATGTGCATGATTCTGGCCACAGCTATCCTTTGTGCACTGTGACTGTATTTTTTTATAGGTGCTCACAAACGGAACTTTGCTCTGACAGTCAATAAGACCTTGAAAAATGTACTGCGCATGGTTGCCAAAATGTAAATTTAGTGTGTAAATTAATGAGAAATGTTTTTGACGAGTCGGTGAATGTATACGAATGTGAGTGTTAATGTAAGTATCGAAATAATGCATGGTAATTAAGAAATTTGACCTTCCACGTAATACGTGGGTTTCAACTTGGCAGCCACGTCGGGCTGCTCGTTTCACCGAGAATCATCAGCAAGCTGTCGAATCACAAACCAATGGCACTCAGCTGCAAGACATTCAAGGGCATAGGGGCTGTACTTGTTTTTACGTTTCTTGGCCCCATAATTTGTGTTGTGCAGGATTGCGGCTCAATTGTGTGACCAGTAGTGAATTACATTAATACAGTGCACAGTGCTGCAGAGGGTTGTACAGGAAAGAAAACAAATCGATTGTCGTGTTTAGACTTCTGTGCTCCCACACACCGTGCTCACCATCGTGACCAACCCGCAGTGACCACCGTGTTGACCTGCACAGTGAGGAGGGGCCATGATCCAGGAGCGGGTTCACAGAGGGCTGTCCATGCAGTGTGTGTGTATAGGACAGTGTTGTCATGTGCGAGCTCTATGTTTGGATATTGTAATTTTGGAACCAATGTGCATGCTCCCTTGTATGACCTTTATGGTTGACCTTTTTTAAAGGCGGTGGGGGGGAGGGGGATAAGGGTGGGGGGAGGGGTCAGTAATCCAGGCGAGGTGGAAGAGCAGCGAGGGAAAATACGTGTCCTTTTGTGTCTACACGGTCATCATCATCGTCACATCGTTGTCAGTGTGCCATCTGTCGGGCCAGAGGTGGCAGAGCCATAAACTCATGACAAGCCCCACTACCCTTTTTGTCAGGAGCACCACGTGCGTGCTTCGATCCTGACTAAACGTTGAAACACGTAGTCCGTGACAAACGTAAAGGGCAACATTCACACTACCGCAGGCAGCGGTCGCCCTCCGTTGAGGGAGCGCCATTTAACCACTGTCCTCCCGTGCTGCGAAAGAAGTGAGGTTACCCAGACACTGCCCCGCTGCAGTCAATGCATGGAGTTAATCTAACGAAGTGAAAACATATCAACAGACACCCACGAGCCATGAGCAAAACAACCAACCGAAACATTACAATCGCGATTTGTAGATATTCTGAGTGCGTGTATGATGTTACGTGATGGCATTTCGCCAGGGCTTTGAAAGTTGCAGTCCCTACGATCAAACTCTTTCGTGGTTAACATCTTAATCCTCAAATTAAGTTGTTTATGGTCACATGTACTGCACGGAAATGATTGTAAAGCCAAACTATGGTGGAGTATGAGGACCGGGGTGGTAAAAGCTCCTCTGTAAACTGCAATAAAGTGTAACCGATGATACTCATACATCGGCAAGTGTAAATTCAATTGCGAATAATGGCGATGGAGACTTTAAAAATAAAAAAAATGAAGCACTGTTGAGATTCTACCAAAGAAGCAGGATCTAGCATGTGAAAACCATGAAAGTTTGCTGGTAATGGGATGAGAATAAAAACGTTCAAGTTTTTAAACATCATGGAATAGCTTTTGTAGTCGAGTTATTAAGAGCGCAAATGAGGCCTTGACTTATCTTTCAAAATCTCAAGTAAAAAAGCACTGATTACTGCGGGCTGGAGCACTTGCACACAATGGAGTGTTTACAAACGTTCCCAAGGAGCGTCTGTTCGTATACACAGCTCCCTCCGTTGGGATCATGTGATCGCAGATGAAGCGTCTTCCACAAGCTTGTGCACAATAACGGCCGCGGCCTGTTTTCAACGTCACGGTTAAAGCGATTGTGGAAAGGCGGCCATCTTGTTGCAGACAGCGTAAATGTGGCATCGAAATGAATAAGGGACCAACGGCGATGTTAAGAGTCCTGTCGAACACAATGACACACGACTGACAAGTTGCAGCATCAAATTAACTCAAAACCAGCAACCTTACATTCGCGCTAACAACATGGTCGTTCACACGTCGGTGGGCTGGCACTTATGTTCATAGCTGTTGGCCACGTACGTGTGTGTGTGCGTGTTGTCGCCTTTGCTCACGGAGTGGCAGCTCACGGAGCCCGGCGTGTGCACCGGTGTGCTTGGCGCGCTCTTCTTCAGCGACTCATTCGAGGGGTAATTAACTGCGGAGTTTTTCGGCGACTGCGCTACGTTGGAGTGCGAGTCGTCGACGTCGGTCTCGCGGTGGTAGAAGTAGTTGAAGTTGGACACGATGACGGGCACGGGCAGCGCGATGGTGAGCACGCCCGCGATGGCGCACAGCGACCCCACCACCTTGCCGCCCACCGTCACGGGGACCGTGTCGCCGTAGCCAACCGTCGTCATGGTGACCACGGCCCACCAGAACGCGTGCGGGATGCTCGTGAAGTACGTCGTGGGCTCGTCCACCTCGGCGAAGTAGGCGGCGCTCGAGAAGAGGATGACGCCGATGAAGAGGAAGAAGATGAGCAGCCCCAGCTCGCGCATGCTCGCCTTGAGCGTCTGGCCCAGGATCTGGAGGCCCTTGGAGTGGCGCGACAGCTTGAAGATCCGGAAGACGCGCACCAGGCGGATGACGCGCAGGATGGCGAGCGACATGGTCTGCTGACCGTTGCCCTGCTGCTCGGCCAGCTCCATTCCGAGCGTGATGAAGTACGGCATGATGGCCACCACGTCGATGCTGTTCATGATGTTGCGGAAGAATGCGGGTTTGCTCGGGCTGGCCAAAAACCGTGCTAAGAGCTCAAAGGAAAACCACACGATGCATACCGTCTCTACGAGGAAAAATGGGTCAGCTGCGAAGCTGGCCTTTGGTACACTTTCCATAGTGCTGTTGGTCTCTAACTCATCGTCACCGTCCTGCCGAAACTGTGGCAACGTTTCCAGACAGAAGATGATAATCGAGACCAAGATCACGACAACGGAGACGATCGCAACTACGCGGGCCGCACTCGAGCTCTCGGGGTACTCGAAGAGCAGCCAGACCTGGCGCTTGAGCTCCGACTCGGGCAGCGGCCTCTCCTCCTCGCGGATGTAGCCCTCATCCTCGCGGAAGCGCTGGATCGTCTCCTCGCCCAGCTCGAAGAAGCGGATCTCCTCGGAGAACAGGTCGAAGGGGATGTTGGCGGGCCTGCGCAGCCGCCCGCCCGACTGGTAGTAGTAGAGGATGGCGTCGAAGCTGGGCCGGTTGCGGTCGAAGAAGTACTCGTTGCGCAGGGGGTCGAAGTGCTGGGCGCGTCGTGCGGGGTCGCCCAGCAGCGTGTCGGGGAACTGGGCGAGCGTCCGCGCGCACGTCTCGAACTTCATGCCGGCCACGTTGATGACCACGCGCTCGTTGCCGTCTCCGAGCTGAGCGCGCTGCGCGTAGTTGCCGTGCGACTGGCTGTAGATGGCCGTCGTGCTGCCGTGCACGGCCGTCCCGTCGTTGCCGCCAGCGACCGTCATAGCAGGAAGGGGGGCGGGGGGGCGGGTCGGAGCCCAAGTCTGGAGAGTTGGTTGAGCAGGGAGGGGAGGGACGGAGGGGAAGGGGAGGGGTCGGATTTGGAAGCAGTCGGTACACGTACATTGTGTCGGCGAATCTTTGACAAGGACGGCACGGCGGCGACGTCAGCAGCAATAACGGCAAGGGCAATGACTGCAGCAATGTCAACAGCAGCACATGCACCAACATCAGCCAATGGAAACAACAGCAGCAGTGGCAACACTGCGCACCTCCGATTAGCATGGTTGCAAGTTCAACATACATGCATACATACAACACAAAACAAAGCAAAAGCAAGGACCACCACCACCGCCATGTCGGAACACAAAATCATATAGCATTATAACAAACATCAGCGGTGAGTCACATGGCCATGACAAAATAGGGAGCAGTGGAGTACATGCTCCCCCAAAGTTGAGATGCAATGCAACCTCAAATAATAGCTTCCTTTATGTGAAATTATATTATATCGCATGGTGCACAATTGGTAAGTTTGAGACAATTTCAGAAACAAAATTCAGAGATTGTATTTGTACATTCCTGGTAAACATTAAGCATTGGTTAACGTTTGCATGTTTTTTTTATGGGTTATTGCAAACTTTACGATAATTTGGAAAAATGTAATTGTTTCGCATATGTTTACACCTCAAATGAAAGCTCCATTGCCTTTGCTATGGACACATGCGGATTTTCAGCCCCTGAATTAGGACTTGGAGAGACTTTATTTGGCACATTCATTGAGCATATCAATGTTTCATTGAGCATGTAAGCATTTACAACGTTGGTTACCATGGTAACTAGGCTGTCCAAATCATCTACATCACGAATAAAAATGCCACAAGCATCATTTTCTGATTGCCGATTTTTTTTGTTTAAATTTTACCAGGTAAAATTTTCTGATTGCCGATTTTTTTTGTTTAAATTTTACCAGGTAAAATTTTGCCAGGTTAAATTTACCAGGTAAGGCACGCTGAGCTATATGGCTATTTTTCAAGAAGCGGTCTGGCCACAAATAATTGCTCAACGAAGTGTCTCTTCACGTGGAAATTTAAAGCAGCCAAATACCATAAACGCATATTTTTAAATGTGGAGTGGTAAAAACCAGAGTACCCGGAGAGAAATCCACGCAACCACGGGGAGAGGGAATACGCAAACTCCAAATATACAGGCGTCTGGGTCGGGAACAAAACCACGACCTCCTGCACACCAGGCAAGGGATTTAACATTTCGTTTAAAAACATCTTTGAAAATTCGATGTGTTGAGTCTTTCATAAAAAGTGGGAAACCCAGTAAACCTTTGGCCCCACGTTCGCACCAACGTTCAATGTCTACTGGGAAAGGTCATCTTCAACAATTCGAGGCTTTTTTTGAGACTGGGGCCCCCAGCGGCCATTTCCCTTCTCCCCGCTCAACAATTTCAAAATGGACGCCACCCACCTGGTGATGTCGCCACAGCAACAACTGCAACATCAAAACACAGCGGGCAGCAAATAAGAGGCGAGTTAGTTAACACAACAACAACAACAACGACGTGCATTCGTGCATTTGTGAAGTACAATTCCCTAGGACAAAATTATTTGGTACAGGGTGATCCACTTATAGACACCCCACTCAAATAATATGGAGACCTCGCATTGAAATATTTTTACTCAAAGTCTCTACAGAAGTACAGTCTTAAATCTTTCAACACTCTCCTGAGTCTCTGTCTCTCGGGTCTCACTCGCAGTGTGCTGAGAGGAAAGGCCATTACCCCAAAACGTCACCCATTATAGATGTTTTTCCCCTTTTTAAGGCCACAGTGTTCTTAAACTATACCATTTTTTTTATTTTACCAGGTAAGGCCCACTGAGCTATACAGCTCTTTTTCAGAAGTGACCTGGCCACAAATTATAGCTCAACAAAGTGGCTTATCATGTGGAGATGTATTGCAGCCAAATACTCGAAACGCTCGTTTAGAAATGTGAAGGAAAAAGCTGGAGGGCCTGGAGAGAAATCCACGCGACCACAAGGGAGAACACGCAGACTCCAAATGTACACGCGTCAGGGTCGGGATTGAACCCACGACCTCCTGTATACCAAGCGAGGTAGTTAACATCTCGCTACCATGGTGCCCTCAACACATCCGTTGTTGATTAATGTGTTTGTCTTTATCTGTGCTTATGTACCACTGCCAATGCAGCTTCACCAAAATAATAAGCTTTCTCCTGATAATGGTCACGTAACATAGCCCGTGTGATGTTCTTTCAGTATGGAACGATGTGGTAATCTGAAGTCATTGAGTCATATCAGTGGGGTATCCATAAGTGGATAAACGTGTGTGTGTATAAACATATAAATATGCGTGTCCTGTAGAGTATGAAGGGCAGCCAAAACGTACAAATATATTTTGAAATGCTGAACTTGGACCCATTGTTATTCATTACAGTATGAACACATTATAGGTGTTAGACTTGGGCACCTAACAAGATGTAAAATAAGCAAATAACTCACGTTTTGTCAACTCGCAGTTTGAGTTCAGTAGCTGTCTCCTTGGCGTTGCATTTGAGCCACCAGCACCTAGAGACATGCACGGCAGCATTTAAAATAAAAAAAATGCCCCCTGCTAACACAAGGTCTGTAGTCGTGAATACTAAATTATCACTAATCAAGACGTTTATGGAGCTCCATATGCAAGGCATTTGAGTTCGTAACTGAATATATTTACCCAAAGTCTCAAACTTGTTTTCAACGTCAGTCCTGCATTTGAATGTTTGTACAGCCCTTTGTAAATCCACCGCTGGGTGGATAAAGGCCTCGGTCAAGCTGCGTCGGTCACGAGGTGGTTGTTTAACCATACTTCACCACGTTGGTAAGCACGGGTTTGGTGAAGGAAAACCCGTGGCTGGGAGTTGAAAGTAAACTGCCCTAACCACTGCACCACCGCTCCCATCTGGCATGTGTGACCAATTCCTAAATGAGCATTTTGCATGTAGGAGGACACCAAAGTGCCGAAAGTCCCCCAGAAATTATGGGGATAACACTCAATATTGGCGCACGCAGATCGGATACGCATTTTATGTACCGCCATCTCCTACCCACTTCACGCGCCCACAGGCTGTCAGTCTGCTCACGATGATCTTTGTTTGATCTACCAAACCCACCTCGAGAAGGCATGCCTGTGCCAGAACACCCGTTCAATTGTAACACAGCACAGTGAGCGGTGCACCGATGTGTGGGATGAACTTAGTGTAAGCACGTGGGAATTAATTATTTCCTTAGTAAAAAAAACACATTCCTGCGGAGGGAGCTGGTAGGAACGTCGGGTTGCTCGGTCAATGGCCAGGGTCAACAACGGCGGCACCACGTGGTGTATTCCGCAAATATGCCCGACTGTGAGGGTGGGCACAAGCCGGCGTGAATAGGTTAAACGTTGAGTTTTATAAGGGCACCACGGGGTGACCAGCCCCTCCCCACCCAGCCCCACCCCTCCCACCCCCACCCAGCCCCATCCCTCCCCACCCAGCCCCTCCCCATCCTCCCCTCTCCACCCAGCCCCACCCCTCCCATTTTTGGATGCACGACGTACGGACGGACACAATAATCCCCTGTGGGCTGGTGGTGTAACCAGGGAGGTTCCTACCAGTACAAGGATCTGTTTCGCCGTGGAAACATAAAACAACAAGTCAGGTCCAGCAGCCCGGGCTTCCTGGACCAAACCGGTTGTGATTTTCTGAGTTTTATCAGCACCGTTGACGAAAAATACTGTTTAAGCACTATTCCATCTGAAGGGACAATTCAACACGAAATAAATGTGTGCAACCCAAAGCTAAATGATATACACACACAAATAGGTGAATTAAACACCAAAACATGTCAGCATCCCAGCATCCTCTGCATGCCAATATGCACAACAACCTAGTGATGGCCACCAGCTCAAATAAGCTTACGCAGTGCATTTTCATTCATTTAGGCAGCAGAAGGATAACAAGGCAACTATGAATCGCTTTCATTCCAATTGGGCCTCATCAGCACAACATAGCCATTATCGTCAACTCCTGGCGTATTTCTATTCTGGCTGCTGGAATTGCCTTCCTAGTGACAGCTTACAATTGTTTTTGCTGCTGTCCTCAGCATGTGCTGAATTTGTCACCAAAGGGAGCGCTCCCTCGGCCATATATGGCAGCCGTAGGCCCCATTGTATCCTTCCAGAAGTACTCCATCAGGCCTTGGCCAAACAAAGACAAAGATCCCCCGTATAGCCTGAGCAGACTGTTGGGGAAAGTGTTGTTAGCGAGCACCTATGAAGGCCGGCACGGCAAACAAGGGAGCGGATGGCCAACACCACGCACGAACGCCTTTATCTCCCCAGTGGTGACGTTTACACACCACACCAGGTACGCATTTATGGCTGAGTCGACCTAGGCGAAACCCATGACCGGTTTCCGATCTCACTGGTGTTGGCCGTGAGCGGGGAATTCAAACTCGGGTCGCCGGGTTCGTAGCATAGCACGCTAACCCGCTACACTGCTGCTCCCCATGAACATCCCAAAGTAAGATCCTCATGAATAAGTCTTGAGACTCAGCAGTGGCATCATATTTGGTGCTGTGTTTCTATTCGTACGGTATCTCGAGCCCCGTGTCAACCCACTGCCGGATGAAGGCCTCCCACAAACCATATCAGGCTAGGGGGTTATGTCACTTCACTTCGCGCTTGTCAGAGCATGGGTTGGTGCAGGGGATATTGGGTGGCAGCAGAGGTCCAGTTCAGATGTCACTCGCCACCGATGTTGGCCCTGTCCAGGATTAATACTCAGCTCGCTGGGTTCATAGTGCAATGCCGCTACCTGCTTCACTGCCTCTCCACTATCGTGTTCAACAGGGTGGTCCAGATTAACTGCCCCCTAAGATTTTTTCCCTTCTTTGCTTATTCAATTTATGTTTAAATAAAGCTTACTTGAACAATACAATTTCTTTGAGAATTAAATGGGGGGGGGGTCACAAGACATCTGGACCACCCTGTACTGTACATGGAGACTGCGACCGATGGACTGATTTCAATTACAAAATTTGTTTTAGAGAGGCCAGAAAGCTTACATTTTCCACAAAAACAATGGAGTATATGATTATAACTTACATCTGAAAACCATAAACTTACCCATTCGGCAAGGTCAACCTAAAGTTCCCTATCATCTGTGAACAAAAGTAATTTGCCTCCTGTAGAGTGAGTTGCTAAAATATGGTCAAACTCGAAACTGATTACAGCCCATAGTTGATAAAACAACAACAGCCAGGTAGTGTATATTGTTGAAATTAACATAATTTATGTATAAGTATACGCAGCACACATTGTTTAAATGCCATCTCCCTTGGATGCACGTACACGTAGCTTACATGTCTGCAAAACTACACAATTTCTTGAAGGCTCAACCACAGGACACGTGCCGAGCTTGGCAGTCCCTCCCTCCAGCAGCCCCACCCACTTTTCAATAGCCACACCCACTCAGCAACTAGCCTGGCCACCATTGTGAATAGGCCCTCTCTCATTGGCACCTGCCTCCTGCCCCTAGGCTCCGCCTACTCCTGCTAACCCCGCCCACTACTCGGGTAGCCCCCATCCATTGCACATACTAATCACATAGGAGTCAAGCATTAAGCCAGCAGAAATAGTAACCTTTCGCAAATGCTTTGGGGAACAGGAATGATAAAACTGTGACTGTCCTGGTCAAGCAGCTAAGTTTAGTAACCTTTTTCCATGTCTGCGACTGTGTTTGGACATTCAGTTGATCGTGACCTTGGCCTTCTACTCAGTAGTGATCTATCATATGCTGTAGTGACCTACCTTGCGACACAAAATAATGATTCGCGTTGTCGTGGAGAACATAAATAACTAAATAAACAAGCAATGTCTTCTTCATACATCTGTCTCTACACATAAAAAATAAACATCAAAGTATTTCTTACACAACCCATTAGCTGCTCGGCCTTCTGGGAGTTCATAAATTCAGTAGCCACTGATTTCAAGTCAGGCAAACTCTGGACCGGTTTCGACATACAGCGTCTCATAAGCAGACTCAGGATTGGTTGAATCAATGCTGATGAACTGCCGATCTTACAGCCAAGTACCCCCTCTTTACCGTACATAACATGTTGGTGGATGGCGTTGCATTGATCTCTGATGGGAATGAGACCAGATTAAGGACAGAAGGTCGCCTCATAATTCCACTGAATACCGTTCAGCCGGCAGGACTGATAGAACGCAACTTCACTTAAAATAGCTTTATTTCGGAGTGCTAGACAAACATTACCCTTTCTTAGTTTAAATGTGATTTTTTTTATATGTTGTACTCCACATCACATTTAATTTCTCAGACTTCTCTGCCTTAAGAATATTGAGCAGTTAAGTCCCTTTTATTGAGGTGGTGGTGATTGGGCCCAGGGATGCTCTGCTGGGTGGATAGGGCCTTGTTCTCACACAAGCATACCTTCCCACAATGCAACATGCCATCAACGTGTTATAATTTTACTATTAATATAAATAACGTTGTTTTATACTCTTTGATTATTCAGGGGTTTGACCTGTACTCAATAACTATTAAGTAACTATTCATATGCCTCTTTTGAAAAAAGGTAAACAGAAAATTTGTAAAAAAATGTAATTCTCACCTCATGATGTTGTGCCTTCTCCAATTCTTATTAACTCTAGCTCTCTGTTTTAAAACCCTATTATTATATTCTATCTCTCTGGTTTCCCTGTGCTGCGGAGGGCCATTGCCTGAAATGTTGTCTTATTTGTTCCAGTATATTATTTTTAGGTCACAACGTTATTGACAAATTTGTTGAGGATTTGTTCAGCAGATATGTCACGACCTACGACATGCAAATTACAATAAATACTGCCCTAACTTTGTCCACGACAAAACTCTAACCTTAAGCCTAGTAGATTACCGCAGTTGCTCGTGAGCACCTATTAAGATCAACGCCATGCGCAATGGGGTGGTGTGGGCCGCACTGTGCCCGACAAACCCCTTGCTTCACACTGCACCAGCTCCTCATTTTACGGCTGAGTCAACCTCGAGGAGGCTGTGAACCGCTTCAGATAACACACGCCACAGATGTCAGCCATGGCTGGGAATCGAGCTCAGGTTTGTACTGCAGCGCACCAAACACTGTGCCACCGCTCCCTGATGCATATACGGTGAGACAGGAAATGTAATGTATGCTGAACTTTTTTTTCGCACTCCACGTATAGCCAACCGTGCTAATCGGAGGCACGGGGGAAGGACAACAAACTCCACACAAAAAGCAGTTCTAAAGAAATTAGTTTTCAATCGAGATTTAAGGTTGCATAGCTCCAGTGGCTTCTTAATATCGTAAGGAAGAGCGTTCCAGACGGACCGCAAAAGTGCGTCTGAAAGCGCGCGATGCAGTGCCCGTCTTTGTTCGATGGCTCGGCCAAAAGCCGCCGCTGCGAAGATGACCGGAGTTTGCGCGATGGTTCATGCTCCTAGACAATAAATGTATTCTTCATAAAATATCTAATGACGAGATTGGAGATCTATTCAGAAGAGACATTCAAG